CTACGACCTCAGCCCAAAGACCCCCTGCTTAGGCTGCAGTTCCTTTTCTTAGGTCAGATAGGAAAGAACTCAACCATGTATTAAAATAGGAGCTTGCAAAGTCCTTGCTCATGGCTCGCTCAGTTTCCCGCTGCCGCTCCAAGGGCTTTACGAGGCAACACCTCCCACCCCCTCAGCACAGAACCAGGGGAGACATTTTGCTTTTCTGAACTAAGAGTTAGCTACCAGTTAACTGCTGAGTTTAGATTTCGCAGAGAGGACAGAAAGCGTTTCATTGCGCTAACCCAAGTTTTCTGGAGACTTTTTATATAAAACTATTGAACTGAATGTCCTCCATAAAATTTATCTTTATTGTTTCCTCCAGAAGAAATGGAAGGAATAGAGGGAAAAAAGGAAACAGTATACAGGTTTGTTTTCTTCTTGTAAGAGGCTAATCCGCAGAGGGTAAAAATTCAATTACCTCACTGTAAATAGCACATTTGTTGAGTGCTTTCACGTATATTTCCAAATTAAATAAGTAGAGCGATGCTGCTGTGTACATCTGGGTTCCCAAAACTTCCCAAACTTCCCCACACCTACTTGAGTCGACATCGGATCGCAAACTCTCTCAGACTAGAGTATGGGGTGGGGGGAAAGGACTATTTTTGCTCAGTGAATGCCTTTAGACCAAGAAGTGCTTACAGCATAATATACTGTAAATCATTCTGTGAAAAGAGTAAGTAAGTACATTGTGTCACTGGTGCAGAAAGAAGCAAGCAAGGAATATTAAGCCATCACTCATCTTTTTACCCATATGCTATCAGATCTAATGCTGTATTTCCAAATAAGATGGTTTCCTTGAAATGATATAGTGATATTTCTTTTAACTGAAAATATACGTGTAATATACAAGTAGAATATGCCTGTTTTTAAAAAAAACTACTGACCATTGCTACTTACAAATAATGTAAACTATTATTCCACCAATTGTAGGGAAATCTTAAATAGAAGAGCAAGATTTTTAATCAAGTAAAAAGATTACTTACATAGCTTAGACTGCTTCTGAAGTGTGATTTTATTCTCAGTTTCGCACAAACAGAACAAAAATGGAAATTCTTCAACTTCACAGTGTATATAAATTATCTGAAGTTATTCTGCAGCTGAAATCTTACAAGGGCTACTGATATCACCCACCTTGCACAAGCAAAGCCTTCGCCTACTGTTCAAGTATTCCTGTTTTACAAACAGCACAATTAACAGTAGCACCGAAGGATACATTTACATTTACAGAGAACAGCTAATGAAAATATTTTCCTGTATTTAGATGAGATGTAATTACAACTTTGCTAAGATGAACCATTCTGTTTATAATGGAAGTTAAAGCAGTCCCAAAACACTGCCATTAGTCCTCCGAGGCCCTGTAACAGAACACATCAGCTCCCAGATGTTTAACAGGAAGTCATTCCTAACTGTGTACATAGTCATATACACACACACACACATACATACATGAAACAAAGAAAGGCTTGTATACTGACTTTACAGATTCGCTATGATTTTCTTGCTCGGATTTGCTAGGAAAATCAGCATGATTTATCAGTTTTAGGCACCTCACACATTTACAGGGCAGACTGCCATTTTTGGACCGCCTTCTCCCAAAGCTGTATTAGACCACAGGTTCCTGCTGTAGACAGCAGACTATGAATCGCTTCTTTCATTGCCAGTCTGTTTTCTTTCTGGATCAAGGGAACTGCCTTCAAATAAAATTTTGTTTCTCATTCCTTCTTTAAGCATTCTTTGCCGGATTCTGTGTTGGGCCAAATTGTACCTGCAGTAAAACCTAGAGGAGGGATGAAAAGAAAATACGATTCCCTGCCTTATACGAGTGACAGTATCAAATCAGAGTTATTCAGCCCATTGAAAAGTTGAAGTCACATATAATAATGCTGGTAAAATTCATTATGAAATGATGCATAATGAAAATACTAGAGTAACTGCTATTTCTTTACGGCAAACATTATACAGCTGCTGAGGAGCAGGATATACCAGTCCAATGGAAAATGCTAATTTCTATAATTTGAATCTCAATTTCATAACCATTTAGTATGCTGCCTTTATAATTAGGACAGAAGGATAGCATATGTGAAGGAAAAAAGAAAGAATTAAGAAAGACTGAAATAACTGGGTGGTTTGATCTCTTAAGATTAAGAAACAATACGAAGGGTTTTTTTTAATATTAACATAAAAATTCAAAGCCATTGTACTCTTTTCCTTAAAAAAGAAATATTTCGGGGAGAAGGACGAGGACGCTTTGCTAGGCAAGTTTTTTATGGAGTTTCAAAAACAGTGTGAAAGGTCACATGGGGATCATGTTGTACAAAGCAGCCAACATAGGTCTGTCAAAATTCAAGAAGCGTTTTACATACCAGTATCCCAACATTGTGCAAATAAAGCCACCGACTGCAAAGTCACAAGATCTTCTAACTCTACCTGAAAGAAAAACAAAAGTCCTCCAAAAAATTAGAGAAAAAGCCTTGGATGACTTCCCATTATTAATAAAACCTAACCGCAAACAGGAATTAATTTTTCCTTGCAAATAAATATATAAAACCCAGAAGGAATAAGTACTTACTAGTTGCTACAAAATGTCCAAGACCGACAACTAAAGATCCCAGGGAGCCATAGAGCACCGATTCTCGTGCACATGGGACACTTTTAACATCAAGAAATCCTAGGAGTTTAAAGGACTGTAAGAAAAAAAACCAAACATACCATAAATTTAAAAAATTACTTTTGTAGAAGTCTATGATGCCAACTCCATTGTAAAACTGACTTGTTATCTTAGAGGTCAAAAATAAATACTTGAGGATTTCCTACTTCCAGGGTTATAGCTGAGCAAAAGTGAACATACACAGCTCTATCAGGAATGGTTTCGGAGTTAACTATTGATATAGGTGACATCATTTCATACAAGCCTATTGATCCGTCCTTTCTATTGAACATAATAAAAGAAATATTCCATTTTTTCCTTTACATTCCCCAAACAAGGAAGGGAGAAAACCCTTAAGAATCCAGGATCTTTGTTCAAAACCAAAACACATCACAACAAACAGGTAAGGTTACAATCAATTATGCAGTAAGTTATGCCATGTAATTTTAATATCTGAAAAGGCAAATGTGCTTAAAAAAAAGTGAAATTACTGGAGAATGCACATGTAGTAGAGAACCTTATACCAAACACTCAATAAAAACATTTATAAACCAGTAATTTTTAACCTAATCCTATGTATAGGCAGTGGCTGTGCACAGAAATTCTTCTACATACAACACGTAAGTTTCTAAATGAACCTACCGGTAAAAATTTTTCAAATTATTTCATACTGTGCCTCACATTTATAACCTAACCTAGCTTATATCTATCAGTTTTCTATTTAATTTTCAAAAATGGTAATTACATGTGGCATTCATAAACCCAACTGTGAACTGACAACTATGTTTTTCATTTCAGAGATGCCTACACTGGGTTCTGCATAACCCAAGTCTTCTAACTGGCATACAGCTCATGTTTTCCACCTGACAAACATCCTTGCAAATGCATGTTGGCGCCACAAGCAGGAGTGACAAAAAGGCCTCAAGATGACATGGGTCAGGGTTAAGGCGCCTGCACTGTAGTAACACCTGCAGATCTTTCTGCTATTAATTATTTTGTTAGGGATGGTGTGAGAATTCGTCTTTATTCTGTTGTGTTTAAATCCTTACACCATTAAATACCACATATGCAACTGTATCAACTAAAATTTTGAAAGATGATTTTTAAATGGTGTCAATTTTTTGTAAAGCTATTCTACTTGGACAAAGTAGATTTTGAAGATGGAGTACTACAGTCAACGCTTTGTAGAAGGCTGACAACTCTGTGAGACAAGTCATTGTGAAACACGCCGGACTGTGGCAACAGGGATGGCAAGCATCTGACAACAGCTGGATTTGTATGCAAGTATGGAAATCCCCATCAATAATTTTATCTACGTTCCCTACGGACGACCATCAGCTGTTCCCACATAACCCCTGTGTGCAAACGAGACAAAAAGGACTTGGTCTATGTCGGTCTAGTCTCCTAACGAGTCATTTCAAGTACTCTCATACGGAAGAAGTCACTTGATACGTTGCTGTTGTTGACTAAGAAGGCATCCCCGCTACATCCATGCAGCATGATGCATCCTTTTAAAATAGTATTTCACCTGTTGCCATACTTGAAATCACTTGTTATGACTCTGACCATTGCTAACCGCTGGCGTTACGAAGGCTCAAGTGTCACGACAGCGTGTCACCCACACAGAGAAAGCCCCGCAGGGGGGGCCGTGGAAAAACAGACAGAGACACCCGCCC